CTTGCGCTTCAAGATGAGCCTTCATGCGAATTTTCCAAAAGTTAAAGTATTCACCACAAAACAATGGAGGCTTGTTGTTACTACCACCATCTTTGAAAACCGGATTTGGATTTGCGGAAGCCATTCTGGATCTTTAGGAACAAGTTACCTATAACTTGCTCTGATACCAATTGTAAGTCTCAGAGTGCCTAAGAGGGGGGGGGGGGTGAATTAGGTATATAAAAATTTATTCGGTTTTATGAGAATACTTGTAGTAGTTTTTGGTTAAGTGTTTGAAGGTTTTGATTATATCTTATCTTTTCTTGATTATGGTGATGAAAGCGATAAAAGCGGAAAAGTAAAGAACACGGTGATATATCCTGGTTCCCCTCACAATCCGAGAGTACTCCAGTCCCTTTTCCAACACGAAAGAGATTTCACTATAGTTAGAATGATTGTACAGCCTATGCTTACTATCTAACCTATAGGGTGATCAAAGCTTCTTAACACCTTTAAGACCAAACAAACACTAATGTGAATGAAGAACAATCCTCTTCAAATCACAAAACTTACTTCCAACAATCCTGGATAGTAAGGGAATAATTTCTTTAAGTAATACAATGATTTAATTTGAAATATATGGATAGCACTATCAATCTTCAATTGATCTTCTTCTTAAATATAGAAACAATTCTCAAGCAATGATTATAAATGTTCATAATGTATGTATGAAACTTGTAATGATTTCTTAATGAAAGTGTATATGGCAAGTTTCACAAAATTATGAACACTTGAAAGTTTAAGTGCAAATTTGAATGAATGAGAAAATTGTTAATATGAAGAAGGTTTTTGTTGTATATATGAAAGTTATTGATTGTTATTTTAAAATCTGAAAATCTGCATATTTTATAAAGTCACAAGAACCTCTTCATTCATGCCATTTGATATGAAAAGATGCAATGCATTCATGAAAAGATACCACTTGAAAAATGTTCAAAAACCAAAAGAAAAGCTGCACTGGTTCGCTAGGAACCGGTTCCGACACAGGCAGAACCCGGTTCTTAGTGAACATTATAAACCAGATTTCAAAAATATCACGCAGGAACCGGTTCCCCTATTGGTACAACCCGGTTCCTGGTACAAATTCCAGGGACATGTTTTTTGAACAAGTTTGGAACCCGGTTCCCTGTTAGGGAGGAACCAGTTCCTGAAAGATTATTTTCAAAAAAAAAATTTTGAAAAAGATTTCAAACAAAGTTTTTCTTAACATTAAAAATGTGGGATATGTATATGTTGATGAATGCATTTTTGTGAACATCTATATTCAAGATTAAGAATTATTTATACCATTTGACATTTGTTGATTCTTCAATAATTCTTCTTCTAATCTTCAAGACTTCTATATGATGTGAATAAGCTTTTTGCACATCCTTTGAATGTTGATGTCCATGTTGTCTTCATCAAAACTAATGCTTTAAATATGACTTGAGAAGCTTGCAATTACAGCAGGCATGTGTCTTATTAATTGAGGTCTTCTTGTATTTGGTTGATCTACAACTGCTGGTTCCTCTTGTCAAACTTCTCTTTCGAGTTGAGTTTCTGGTTCTTCAAGCAAGATTCTCATTGAATATTTCTTGACATTTTCAGTCCAATCCCATTTTTTAAGCTCGTCTATGATCATGTCCCTGCTGACCACAATCTTCTTATTTACTGGGTCGAACAACTTGTAACCTCCTGTCGAGTGATATCCAACTAGAATCATTTCACTCAACTTGTCATTAAGTTTTCTTCTCAACTGATCGCGCACGTGTCTATGTGCTATAGATCTAAATAACTTCAGATGACTTAAGCTAGGCTTCGTACAAGACCAACATTCTTCTGGAGTAATTCCTTCTAGCTTATTTGTAGGACATCTGTTCAAAATATATGTTGTAGTCGACATAACTTCACCCCAAAACTCTTTAGGTAAATGCTTGTTTTTCAATATACTTCTTACCATATTCATGATGGTTAGATTCTTTCTTTTTGTAGTTCTATTCTACTGTAGAGTCTAGGGTGGCACCACCTCATGCACAATCCCCTCTTTCTCACATAACTTGTTGAAGTCTTTTGACACATACTCTCCACCACCACCAGTTCTCAGAACTTCAAGATTTCGACCACTTTGTCTTTCGACCATAGACTTAAACTTGTAAAATACCTCGATCACTTCAATTTTCTTCTTGATCGGGTAATTCTACAATTTTCGACTGAACTCGTCTATGAACGTAACAAAGTATTTATTACCTCCCATCGAATCCACCTGGATTGGTCCATATACATCAGGGTATATGACTTCGAGAATAACCTTTGACCTTCTTCCTGCCTCCTTGCTGAAGCTATTCTTGTGCTGCTTCGCCTGCACACATTCCTCACATACTTCATTTGAAATGTCAATTTATGGCAATCCTGAAACCATATTTCTTCTCTTCAAATCTCTGATGTCTCTGAAGTTGAGATGACCTAATCAATAATGCCATATCCATTCATCTCTGCTAGCTACAGTCGAAAGGTATTTGTGCTCCATCACATTAAGTTCAATCTTAAAATTTCTATTCTGAGACATAGGAGCCGTCAAGATTAACCTTCCATTTGCATTGACAACTTTCATCATCTTGTTTTTCATTGACACTTTGTAATTCTTTGCGACCAACTTCCCTATACTGAGCAAATTTCTCTTCATTCCTGGTATATACAATACATTGAAAATTATTGGCATTTTTCCATCTTTCCTCATAATCATAACATCACTAATACCTTCAGTTGCTAGGGTATTGTCATTTGCAAATTTCAGTGTTCTTCATCGAGAGTTTTATGTTGACAAACCAATCTTTCCTTCCAGATATGTGTGATGAGCATCCTGAATCCAAGTACCATTGGTCATTGAATCTATCTTCATCTCTTGGTGTGACCATCAATATCATCTTTTGTTCTTCTTCTTCTTCTTCATGTTTTGTAAATATTGCATCACTTTCTTGATTCTTTCGCTTTTCTGGACAACCACTCGAATAGTGATCATACTTTTGACAATTTTAATATTGAATGTGACTCTTTTTAGATTTTTGACCATCACCTCTTCCTCTATTTGCAACACTACCTCTTTGGTTGCCTTGATATGGTCTTCTCTGATTTGACACATTTTCTTCGTGCTGATTTCCTCTACCGGTCGAATTGTTATAGCCACATTTACCTTTATTGTCAAACCACTTTCCTTTGCCTTTCTTGTCTCTTGCTAACTGCGTCTGCAAAGTCACATCAATCTTCGACTTACCCGCAGTCTTTTCAGCCATTCTTTGTTCATGAGATTCAAGCGTCCCTTGAAGCTCTTCCTTCGACAAAGATGACATGTCCTTCGACTCTTCTATGACAACTACCACTTGGTCTAACTTCAGAGCCAAAGATCTCAAGATCTTCGAAACAACTGCCCTTGTTTTTAATGTCTCTTCACAAATCTTGATTTTATTCACTAGTTTCCTAACCCTAGTGAAGAAATCAAATATGTTCTCATTATCTTCCATCTGAAGCAATTCATACGTTCTTTTGTGAGTTTATAACCTCACATCTTTCACCTTCTCAGCGCCTCCAACCGACTTCTTCAGAATTTTCCAGACTTCTTTTGCAGATTCAACATCATTAACCTTTTCCGAAATTGTCTGGGCTAACACATTGGGGAGTTATAAAGAGAGCTTTATAATTCTTCTTCGATTCTCTGTATTCTATTTCTTCATCTTCTGAAGCGTCTTCATCAAGCAGTTATAATCCATGTTTCACAAGATCTCAAAGACCTTGAAAACAGAATATAACCTTCATCAGTTTGCACCAATTCTCATAGTTATCACTTTTAAGAATTATAAGATTTGTTGGAAAATTTCCGTTAACGTAATTCATCACCGTCTTGAATTTCTTCTTCTTCTTCCTCGATCGTTCTTGATCGTCCTTCCCTTGAATGACTCAATCGGAGCTCTTGATACCAGATGTTGGAAATCCACCAAAATCCATGATGAATTTCTATCAATCTTGATGAACAAGATTGATATCATCACACAATGACAATGAAAAATAAAAGACGAAGAAAGAAAGAAAGTATTTTTCTGCAGAGTTTCTCTCTGCCCACAAACTGTGGAAAACTTTATTATTCACTGCAACTGCAAATTCTGTGAATACAATGAGCTGATTTGATTACAAAAAAATAGGGGTTACTTCCTATTTATAGATTTAGGTTAGTTTTCTCCCTAAGCCAAAACCCAAAACTATAAAAGCCCAAAAAACATATTTTAGAAATAAATCAAATCTATTTATTTTAGATCTAAATCAAATCTATTTAAGTCTAAAACAAATATGTGTATAACAAACTGTTTCTACACTTCTAAATCAAATCAATCTTTTCGACATTCTTTTATCTCTGTCAAACAAACTGCTTTGACACAAGGAATTACTTTTAACAACTTCCAGTCTAAATGTATACAAAAAAATACTTTTTACATTATAAAATTGCTAAAATTTAGAAGGATAAATATAATATTAGCTTCCCATGCTATTATTTTCGATTGGTAAACTAGCTACTTTAAAGAGCTTCTCGTGTTACATCTTTATGTTAGTGTGGTTAGTCATTACCTAATAATGATATTCAATTTGAGTGAATTCAACAAGTATGATTCATCAAAGAACTTGTTTAGAATTATTAAAAGCCAAAATTTGGAGAAAGTTGATCAATTCAAAGAATGATGAAGCATAGTACTATTTCTTGTAGATACATTTTATTTAGCCAACTATATAAGAGACAATGTATGCTAAATATTTATCAACCCCAAAAACTCTGTTGGAAGAGAAAAACATTAATCTCTAACAATGATGACATTCGCTTGTTTTTTTTTCTTTTTTCCGATGATTAAAAACCAAACTCATAATGCTAGGGTTTATAACATATTCATATGTTCTGCGCATCAAGCAGTTGCACTAGAATCTTGTAGTAAAAATATGCATTACGGTTTCGCATTTTGTTTCTCCCAATAACTCTTCTCTCTGGATTCGATTCGTTGAATTGCATTTTGTTTTCTTCTTATTTGTGCTTCCAGAGACGGAGGATCATAAGGGGGAGGCATAGTGCACGGGTTGGTGTTTGAAGGGCTCTTGACCAATGATTCAATCATAAATTTATTTTCTAATCCTTGTGCATTACACACCATTGATTCCACACATAGTTCAACAGCTTTATCACTTATGGAGGGTTGGTATCTAAAGAGCTTAGCATAGGAATTTAGGAGATGAAACATATAGTCATACACATAATCCATCTTCAACTCTTGTTGAATGAAATCACTTGCTGCTTTTCCAATATTTTGTGCCTAATGAAGAACAAAAACATGTAACATTGAAACATTGGTTGTTCTATAGTATAAGTAAATAAACAAAAGTGGATTTGTTACCTTTTCAGTGTGACTATTGCCCCAATCCACGGCAAATTTAATGGACTTGCATTTATCATCTTCATTAATGGGCCAATAGTGATGCACTGGAATTAACCCTCTTGTGAAGAAATCATAATAATGAGGTTTCACAAGTAAAGTGGGAGAATCACATGCTAGAATGTATTTTTCACTCACGGACCAAGCTGACCCTTCAATGTACACCTTATATCTACACACAATAACCATGATTCATTTAAAACATTCATATTTTGATAGCTATACATATCAAATAGTTATGAAAAATATTAATATAAGAAAAGTTATGACAAGATTTCAAACACATATAGAAGCGAAGTTCATGTTACATAGGAAAGACACATTCGATATTTGTATTAAAATTAATGTTATACCTATGAGTGCATTGACGTGCCAAGTCTGATTTCTTGTACCCTTCTTGCGACTCTCGTCCCCAATCCTAAAAAAACATATTTCATTGTTAATTTCGACAATATAATTACTATTATATCCACTTCAGATTAAATCATAAGTAAAACCTCATAAGTAATGCTAGTACGATAGATGAACATTTATTTGTCCAATAATTATATTTGAGTTCGTTCCGTTAATAAAGCTTAATGAAGATGAATACCTGAGAATATAAACGAGCATTCCAATCTTGTTTATCAGAAACATTACATGTCATGAGATTTTGTCTTGTTTCAGCAACGGTCGGATTACCTTTCCAATAAGCATAAGGTTCTCTTTTATCCCATGAAATCCTCTTGTTCCCCTCTTTCAACTCTCCCAACAAAATCTCCCATGGCTTTACATTAACCTCGGCCCTACATAATCACTTAAAACGTCATCGAACTTTAACATTTACATTATTTCTGGTTATTATTATAAATAAATAGAAAATCATATTTTATAAAATAGTTGAATAACTGAGATATCTGATCTATATATACTTACCATCCCCAGAAAGACCAATCAGGAAAGACGATATCCAATGTTAGATCATTACCGCAATATCGAAAAAGTGGAGGTGGGGCAACAACATTATTTTGATCAATTAAAACAACTGGCCAATCAACACAATCAAACATAAGCTCCAAATCAGGCAACATTCCAGGGTACCTCCTTAACAACTGTAGGATACCCCATAGAGTAAAAGTATCTCTTGTTTGAAAAGCTTTCTCATATGTTTCTAAGTACACTTTTCCTTTTAATATCACTAACTTGAAATTTGCCGTTGCTTTTGCTTTCTCTACCATTTCCTGTGTTATTCCTGTGTGGGCCCATGGCCTTAAATCTTCGTGGATCCAACGGAAGTAATCTGGACACGTGGAGTTAGATGAACGGTCTTGATTGGAGAATGAGATTTCGGGATTGTTAGTGGGACATTTTTTGCTGAGGTTGTATCCATTGCAATCTATTGGATTTAGGGGCTTTGTTGGTATTTCGTATGCTTTCGTGGTTAGAACTGGTTCGGTTGATGAAACTTTGGAGAAAATGTCCTACACACAAACATTACATTATGGTCATTAAACAAAAAATAATTTAATTTTGTATACCAGTAGTTTATGGGTTTAATTTCACCTATGTTAGGGTTTGGTATTTAGGATTAAAATAGTATAAAATTAAAAGTAAGACATTTCTTATAAAATAAAACATACAAATAAATCCAAATCTAAATCCAAATCCAAATCTAATAATGTAAATGTAATTGGAGCAGTTATGGATGAATCCAAGTTTAATCAATGATAGAACTATACAAGTGGTGCAAAAGTACAATGTACGTGAGTTGTAAAAGTAACATGTGGAACCTAATGGACACGTGGCATTCTAACACTCTTCTCATTACAACCATAGATCTTAGGACTTTTAATTTCTGTTTGGTTGGCCGACATAAGCGGCGCTCATTTCAGGCTCACAAAATATTTCAGAACTTTAGAGCTGATTTTAAATATAAAAAAAAGTAAAGTCGTTAGTTTGAAAAAATAATGAAACATTCTATCGTTATCGTTATTGGAAAGTTGAATATATTGTTGACAATTCAACCAAGTCACATCTTTTCTCTCGTGGAAAAAAGGTGACAAAAGGACAAAAAGGTGGCAATGTCTTTTTTAAATAAAAAATATCAGTCATTTGGATTTTGATGGTAAATTAAAATATCATCCACACACAATTAATTTTTTGTTTAAAATAATATTTATATATTTTAAATAAAAGAACACAGACATTTATTTATAAAGTATTCATGGCTTTAATAGTTTTAGTGTCGAGATTGACAAATATGCCTATGTGGAAGAGAATTTGAGACACCGAGTTATTCTCATGTCTGTTTTCAGTTTGAGACAAGCGTAGCTTACAAAACAAATGCCTAACGTTAAAAATAGCAAACTCCACGAACCAATCATGCAAAACGATACTTACAGGTGTTTCGACGAACCGCGCGTAAATCAACGCGCCGACGATTAACACCACCGGCAAAACCAATATCACGGCGGATCTCAACAACGATTTCATGAATTGTCTCTTCCAAATTACCAATTTGCCCCGATCCGAAGTTTTCTTTCCCCTGCTTACTGTACAACAACAACAACAACAACAACAAGAAACATTGTTATCTCAAAAATACTCTGTTTCTTATGCGATACTATTAATGTTAATGTTATTATTTACATACCCTTTTGATGTTTCGAGCTTCTTGTTACTCAGAATACCAAAAGATGATAACTTTGATATTGTTCTTCAATTGGGTCGCTGTGATTTCAACAATTGGAAAAATAGAAGCATTTAACCCAACCTTCCCTTTTTGTGTGTTTCTCTTTTGCTGTGGAGGTTATTGTTTTGTGGAATGATGGTTGAAGAACCAAAGAGAAAAGAAATTTGGGTGAGAAAAAGATCACAACTAAGAATTTGTTTTGTAAATATGACAACAAAAGAAACTATGACAGAGAAAATTAAATTATATGTGAATTTTCTCTTGTCGATTAATTTGAGTTGGACAAGGACGGGAAGAGACGTAACTTTTTTACGGGTCAAAGGGCCTTTTGATCATAGTATATATATATATAAGTAACTCTTTTCTATAATAACTAAATAACAAACTCCTACTTAAGCACTGGTTCTAATACGGAAACGTATTTTATTTTATTTTTCAAATATATGTCTTTTATAATAATAATAAAGAATTTTTTTTTTTATCTTCTATATAAGAAACTCTTTTCTATGATAATAATCTTAAAAAACTCTTTTCCATTCATCTTATATGTAAGTAAGAATTTTATTTTTAAATTTATCATATATATATATATATATATATATATATATATATATATATATATATATATATATATATATATATATATATCAAAAAGAAAAAAAATAAGAAAAACATTTTTAACATTATCTGAAAATGGCAGGATTGCACTTATATAAGAAGAGATAAATTAATTTTAAAAGAATGGTGTTTGGGATCTGGTGTCTGTTAAAATAAAATGAATCTTCAGAAACAAACTTAATGAGAAAGATGTTGTAGTAAGAAATAAAGTTAAACTTGTAGTTCAAGGTTACATTCAGCAATAAAGTATTAATTTCTTTGAAACCTTTGCATTTATTGCAAGGTTAGAGGCAATCAGATTACTCGTATCTTATGTTATTAATCATAATATCACTATATATCAAATGGATGTTGATCTGGACTGGACCTGCATTTGTCCTACGAAAAGAAGGCCCAAACGGCCCAAGTCAGAGATTGTGGGGCACCTTCCCATCTAACCGTTGGGAGACGTGGCCCACCACTTCTCAACGGATACATCAAACTGCTCACCAGGAATTTCGGATCCAACCCAATTCTCGCGGAGCGGTTGACCAGGGGGGAGTCCACTTGCTGGACTCCATACTCACGTAAACCCTGGCAGTTGTCGTTATTGGGCCTCTGCGTGGCCCAATGGTGGGGACTTTGGCCCAGCATTGGGGACTATAAATACCCTCTCTCATGAGAGGATCAGGTATTCATTCATTCACACCTATACTCACTTGCTTGCTCATTCCATCTCTCATTTTGCCATCGGAGTGTCTTGCAGGTACCCCCCATCTCCTTCAAATCCAGCCCGAAGCCAGCTGTGACGGTCTAATTCTGATCAGGTACGATCAGTGGCGTTGTCTGTGGAAAACTAAGCTTCCCCGTCTTCTTCACTTAAAAAGACCAAAGCTAAAACCATCATCGACTGTCATGGCTGACCAGACTCAAGATAACCAGAACGTCTGCGTCATCGAAGCTAACAACAACATCGTTGACAATAATGTCGGCCCTGACAACGCCGGCATCACCGGCCATAACACGGTCCCCAGCGGCAACATCCTCGGGTCTTCTAACTACCGAGACGGAGTCACGGCTTTGTCTTCATCAATCCCTCTTCGGCTTGAAGAAGATCACCCAGTTCCTCTGAAATATCCAGCCGTCCAATTCCACGAGGTTCCTGTCCCCGTCGGGGCAGATGCCACGACCAGGACACTGTTCACGGCGATTAACCAGACCAACTATCTCATCTTTTCCCAGGGGGAAATATTGAGAGCACTTGAAGACGACCGAAGGCCCCCTAGGAGACAGAGGAGGCCTCAATCTCCTCCCCTTCGACAAACGGAGGAACGTCCCCGATCTCCCCCGCAGAGACAGGATCGAGACATCTCTTGAAGCCCGTCGCCTCGACCAATCGGGCGGCGACCCCCTTGGATAGGGAACCACTCATCGAAACGGGAAGGCGCGACCACGGTCCTTCGCGGCAAGAACGAAGACCTCCCGGGGACAGACACAGAGGAATCTATCAACGGTCACATCGCTCGAGGAACATCCCGCACGACCTGGGCCATCGTGACCGACAATACATCAGATCCTCGTCCCGCTCCCCGGAACGGAGTAACGAGGACGACCCCCGCGGTCCCTTGTCACAAGCTATCATGGAGGCGCCCATTCCCCCGGGCATGGAGAAGCCTCCCACTTGAAATAATATGACAGCGTCGCCGACCCGGTCGACCATATAGACGGGTTCGAGGCCATGTTGCACTACCACAACATCGGGGGACCAATCAAATGTCGGTTGTTCCCTACGACCCTGAGGAAAGCAGCTATTGACTGGTACAAGGGCCTCGCCCCGGGGTCAATTACCTCGTGGCGAAACTTGAAGAACCAGTTCATCAGCTCGTTCACTGCTTCGCGACGACACCCAAAGACCGAAGCGACGCTCGAGGCCATCGTCCAGAAGAACGATGAGACCTTGAGGGAATTCATCAACCGCTTCAACCGGGAAGCCATCCAGGTCCCCTGCACGAACCATATGAAGAGATACCTGCTGGAGAGGGGGCTCCTCCCCGGCACCGAATTCAGGAAAGCCGTGGGCATCTAACCACCCCGAACGTTCGATGCCCTCCTCGAGAAGGCCAGAGCCTACAAGGACTACGAGGAGAGGGAAGCGGCCAACAAAGCCCGAGACCCCAGAAATCGCGGATCCAGCAGCAATCCGCAACAAGATACTGCCCCTCCTCGACGAACTGGGGAAAATAGAAAGGATGATAAACCCCAGGACGCTCGGGAGCAGAGGGGACCCTCGGAACGGTTCACAGAATACACTCCGCTCACGGCTTCTCGCGAGCGCATCTTAGAGGAGTGTGCAAGTACATATTTTAAGGATGGCGGCGTCAAACGTCCCCGTCCAGCTCCTGCCAAACTCGGGGTGGACCGAAGCAAATACTATCAGTACCACAAGAGCCACAGGCATCTGACCAAAGATTGCGTCCACCTCAAGGACGCCATCGAGACCCTCATAAAAGGGGGGAGAATCGCACAGTACCGGAGAAATGACGCTCCTCGTCAAGACGCCCGCGAGACGAGGGAAGCAGAAGAGGATGCCTGACCATCTGACGAGTCGGTTCCCATCCAAACCGCGTTCTCCGTCACAAGACCCGAGGACTTCTACGTCCCCGGTCACATGCAAGAACCTTTGTCGATGCACAGTAGGTAGGAACACTTATCCTCATAGAGAACGAGGAAGGTGTGGTGGTCGAGCATTCGCTCACCCTCTCCTTTTCGACCTCGAACAACCAGGCGGAATACGAGACCCTGCTCGCGGGTCTAAGACTGGCCGAGGATCTAGGTGCCCGTGAGGTACAAATCTTCACCGACTCTCAACTCATCGCGTCCCAAGTCCAAGGAGGATACCAGGCTAAAAACAACAGCCTCATCGAATATCTGAACTTAGTCAAAGAGCACATGAAAAAGTTCGATCGAGCAGAAATTTCGCACGTACCACGTGAGAAAAACACAAGGGCCGATATACTTTCGAAGCTCGCAAGCACGAGAAAGAACGGCGGAAACAAATCCATCATACAAGAATCCCTATCTCGCCCGAGCATCGAAATAACCTCGACTCCCCCCGAGGTAAACGCCATCGGAGACAGCTCATGCTAGATGACCCTGGTGTTCAACTTCCTAACGAGGGGGGGGGGGGGTTCCCCCGGATTGAACAGAAGTAGCCGCGACCAAACGACGAGCATGCTCCTACGTGGTGATCGAGCACAAACTATATCGCAGGGGATTTTCTATCCCACTCTTGAAATGCATCGACGAATCCACGGTCCCCGAGATATTACGGGAAATACACTAAGGGATTAACGCCCATCACATGGGTGGCAAATCCCTAGCGAGGAAGGCACTACGAGCGGGGTATTACTGGATGACAATGCAACAAGACACCAAAGACCATGTCAAGAGATGTGACAAATGCCAAAGACACTCCGACATGCACCTCGCCCCGCCACACGAGCTGAATATATTATCATCCCCGTGGCCATTTGCCCGGTGGGGAATGGACATCCTCGGACCATTCGTTCAAGGGACGTACCAAAACAAGTTCCTCATCATGGCCATAAATTATTTTACAAAGTGGATAGAAGTTGAATCCCTCGCAAAAATCACCTCGTATAACACCCTCTGCTTCTACAAGCGAAACATGCTCGCCCCATTTGGAATTCCGCATGCTCTAATCACCGATAAAGGTACCCAGTTCATCGACCAGGGCTTTCAAAGTTTCATTGCCAAGCTCGGCACCAAGCAACATTTTACCTCACTTGAGCACCCCTAAACTAACGGGCAGGCCGAGGCCACAAACAGGGTCATCTTGTGAGGACTCAAGCGTAGATTAGGTGAATCAAAAAGGGGATGGGTCAAGGAGCTACATAGCGTTCTATGGGCGTATCGTACGACGCCCCATTCAACGACGGGTGAAACCCCATTCCGACAGACCTACGACACTGAGGCGGTCATCCCAGTAGAAATCATGGAGCCATCTAGGCGAACTGAGATGCCCCTCGACAAGGAGATGAACGACGAGGCTCTGAAAGACGAGCTCGACCTTTTCGAAGAAATCCGTTCAGAAGAAGCCCTACACGAGGCCACTATGAAACAGCAGGTAGCCCTACGCCATGACATCAAAGTCATAAGACGCAAATTTCAGGTCGGTAGCCTA